GCTCGGGGTGAAGTTCCTTTTACAATCTGATATCGAGCAAATCCTACACCCCTCATCACCTTCTCCACTACAACCATCTAACACCCGCGAAAACATACCCAATGATCCCAAAGCCGATCGAGATCCTCCAATAGTAATGAAAAAATCATCCAGTCGCACAATGCGCCTAACAGAACAATACATACGTATTTTTCAATACGGCTTTCATATTCAGAATGAAAACTACGTTGTAGTTCTAGAAGACGATTTAAGTGTTTCAAATGATGTAGTGGAGTACTTTCACAAGGCATCTGAAGTGATGGATCAAGACAACACCCTTTTTTGTGTATCTGCTTGGAACGACGTACGTCTTTCTTCTGATATTTTCCAAACATTCGTCTTCTCTTTGTCGTCAGTTCTCCTAACGTTCTCACTGTACTTATAGAACGCATACCCCGCTACAGCATCGTCGCCTTTCAACTTTCGCCGTGGATCTCACTTCATGGCTTTAGGATGGATGACCAGCAGAAAAATATACAATGGCTACATTAAGCATGCCTGGAAGCCTAAAGAATTAGAAGACTGGGATAAAATTTGGATCACGCAGATGAATAGGATAAGGAACATGGAGTGCCTGTTCCCTGAAGTTTCCAGGTACGAAAGTATTCTTCTTTGGTTAATTGAGGCTGATAACCAGCTTACAAAGTCAGGGCTATCGACTAACTGGCCTCGCTTTGACCGAACTTCACTCTTTAGAACCCACCATGTCAAACGACGCGGAGACTCTGCTTATAGTGTCGATGATTTCTTCCAAACGGACAGGCTAGACAACATGAACCTTGCATCACCAACCCCTCTCTCCTCGGCAGCCGCTCCGTCCTCTTCAGTTCCATACTTATTGCCGACGTACAATCTCTCTCTTTCTCATACCAGCATCCACATTTACAAAACATATCTTCTATCACTCATTCATTCCTCGACTCGAATAGCTTCCATATCTGATATATTTGCGTTTCGTAATTCTATCTTATCATACTACTGTTCCCACTGCAATTCCGCCTATGGTGACACGAATAACCGATACTGGCGTGATATCCTCGAAAATTTCTTTGGATTATTTTCCTTCGGGTTTAACGACGGGGTTATAAGAGGTGTACATGATGGGATTGTGATTTTAAGATTTATGACAAACATGGTGATAATTATAGATGTGGAGTCGAAACTGGGGGAAGAAAGCCAAATCGCAGAGAAAGATGTATGGATGGGAAGAGACAGCGATCGGTTTAGATTAAAAGACGGGGAAGTGGTGGTTATGGGTTTGAAAGGAGAAAGCTGCAGCGAAACTTGCGAACGTCTTCCGGCATATTCTTCAACTCCCTCCATGACCGACTCTAGTGACAGCGATCAACCAAACGTTTCAACCAAAAAGTGCAACCCTCAACTCCTTCCCCTCATCAATCAATGTCAAATTTTGCAATCTTTAAATTCCGTAACCTGCAAAATCTGCAAAAAGGAATTCTCGAATCTAGCACCCTTTGTAAGGGACGACGAAGATGCAGACTTTTCGCATCATTCTACCCGCTCTCATTTACATTCTGATGAATCCTCAATCACATCCAACGAAGCCATTGCATCAAAATCATCCGCCTCCCCCGATTTAGTAAAGCTGATCAAAAAATCTACCGACGACAGCAGGCATAATAAAAAGAGAGTCAAACCGAAAAAGTCGGTACAAACGAATTCAGAAACTGAATGCGTCACAACCCCATGGAGATATTTAAATTGTGATACGAAAGGAACAGGAAGGGAAAGGAGAGTTTGTATTTGCGTCTAAAGTTAATCTTAGGACCTTGTGAATGAGGATTAATACGAAAATTTATTCAAGTTTCGCGCTGAAACTCGAAGCCGGTTCGTAGAGTAATACGTTAGACATGAGTAGAAGTCTATTCAATCATCTATTTATTATGTTCATTTATATATAATATGTTTCATTACTTAATCCATTGTTCATATACATAGCTGAGTATAATATACCTAATTGAGGGAAACCAAGAGTAGGTATTACTTCACACAATAGTAAGACAGAAATGATTGACAATCACACAAGGGGCAAGAGAAACGAAGAGACTCTATGCATGGGGGAAGACCCAACGTATTATGATTTTTACATTCTAGCAAATACTATATGATCCGAGTTGAAGTAAAATGAATTTATTCTAACAGGGGGCCATTATTCTTCAACCATTCTTCCGCTCTCGATACAACAGCTTGATCACTTTCTTCTTCATTCTTTTTCGTTACTTCCACACCTTCCATATCTTCATCTTCACTATCACTATCCCCTTTTTCTCTCTGTACCTCTTTTTCGGCTTCAATCAAAGCAAGGATACCCCAATCAACGGTATACCCCATCGCCACAAACAGATCTGATATTTTTCTGGTTTTAGCAATACGATAACTACGGACACAAAAGTAATATTCAGATTCGTTTAAAGGTTTGTGAATCGACGAAAGTTGAAGCAAATTGTAAGCTTGAATAGCTAGTGAAGTAGGGTCAGCCCCGGTTGAAGGTGGTTCAAAATTTGTTCCTGATTTACAATACTGAAAATAACAGTCCAGTCAATTTCTGCCAACAAAGAGAGGAAAAGTGAAAAATGTAATTCTTAAGGCAGTTACCTGATTCCAGCACCAATCTTGTTTACAACCTTCATTTAACTGAGTGAAGTATGCATGGACAATTCTTTTGATCATAACTTGATTTCCAGGGTCATCTCTCGAATTCCAAAACGGCGAAAAACAAGTGCCACATAGACCTAACAGATTTCTCCTATCTCTTTGTATCCAATTTGAACACATTCGATTCCTACATACTACCATTCCAGTCTTTTTATTTTTACGTTCGACTCGATGCATCCTCATGTGGACTTTCACATCCCGTATTCTTACACTACGATTACATATCTGACAATCAATAGTGCGGCTGGAACAGAGGGATTCGTGTTCAGTTGTGATGCCGTCCATATAATCTTTTGGATCAGTCGAAGGTGGACCGGCCGGGGTGAGGATGTGGCAAAAACGACAAAGAATGAGACGAACAGGACAAACTGACCGACGGTGAGCAGCCAGCGACGATAGAGAATTGAAAGTTTCAGAGCACGGGCACGTAAATGGTTGGTTTGGATGAAAATAATTATTGTGCTTTGCAATGTGATCAGGGTGCAAAGCCTATTGAGCGAAAGGTTAAAAGGTCAGAAACTTGTCAAAAACTCGCTATCATTAGAGATCACGAACCTCATCACAAAGCGGGCAATGTTGATGGGTGTTGACATCTTCCTTCTTCATTACCTTTCCACAGACTTTACATTTAACATTATGCCGATAGCAAAAGGCAGAATGCATAGCGATCGTCCGTTTTGGAATCCAAACACCGCAGTTGTCACACTTTTCATTATCTGCATTAGCACTATCCGCTTCTTTTACATCAGCTCTCAGAGTATCTTTCCTGTCACTAAACTGACGGTCGGACGAGTGGATTGTTATCATATATGTTGAGGATTCTTCGTAACCTTGAACAGCTATGTAAAAGAATGGTGTTAATTCTGAAGTTTGCTCCTCGAGAGATGATGATTCGTTGTTGAGTGGCGAGAATGAAGTGTAATTGAATACACGAGATCCATAATCGACATTGAAAAATGTGTTGTCAAAAACCGACGGGTGATCAATTGTATCATGAAGAAAAATATTGATATCGCCAGACGACATTTGAATATGAATCTGCTGGTAAGGTTTCGACGGGGATGTTTGAATCTACAGCAATTTAAGAGCAAACGAATTGGCAAGAGACCTCATTAACACGACTTGATTGAAACCTTCTGAAACCATACCTTGTAATACCGCCACTCATCTTTTGCGACTACACCACCTGCTTCCGCCAGACTTTCGTTACTATCCACTTTCTCTACTGAAGGTAGCAACAGGGGTTCACGACTCTGTATGCCCTTCTTGTGCTGTTCATACATGATTTTCAATTTCTGCTCATCTTCTTCCAAAGGAACGATATCCACTGTGATATCCGTGTCAATAATGATACATGCTTTTTCTGGACTGTCAGGTTCAAGTTTGGATACGACAAATGTGTAGGCTTTGGTAGGAGACGATGGGGACGACGCAAAAGTATGAACATTGATCGTTAATAGCTCGGAGAGGGTGAGGCAAGTATGGTTGGCTCGTAAATATGATTCGAGAGTGGCACTGAATGTTCAAGAAAAACTAATAGTGAGCAACAATCAATTCAAATCGAGGCTGTTATTAAATTTCAAACTACCGAATATCAGTGATTTCCAGATAATCGATTGCTATGGGGCGTAATTGTGCATACGTTGCTTTCGGTAATTGCTTGGATTTTGTAGAAACGACTTGATCCAAATCAGGATCTAAATCAAGCGAAGTCGCTATCCATGGTGGAACAATCACAGAGCCTTCTTCCGCTGTGAATTCTTTTACACCACAATAAATCTTTCTTCGATTCCTCGGGTTCGATATTTCAAAGACGAAAGGAGATGCGGTGGCTGAGGCAGAGTCGGAGAGCGAGGATAGGACAGAGGATGGAAGAAGTATCTTGTCACCGATGAGCGTGGACGAGGAACTCCATGAAAGCGTCGCCGAATAATTCATACGGTGCCAATAAGAAATAAGATATGGAATGCGGAAGGAATATAACGTTTGGCCGAAGTATAAGCGTATGACCACGTCACGCCGCGGAATAGTGTGGAACAGGAAAATAATAGTTAAGTTAATTAAAACAATTGATAATTTTTTACCAATATCACTAAGGCCTTATCAAAGGCAATCAACGATATATATATGAAACTCTGATCATCAAGTGCGAATGAATACTATTTTCATATTGGCAAAAGAATACTTTCTTGGCTACACAATTAGTGACAACCTTTGAACATTAAAAATCAAATGCAATAATGGAGCATATTTACATTTTGAGGGAAGCCTGAATTTGGCAAAACTGGAGAACCAGGGTATCGATCCCTGTGCCTCTCGCAGACACGATGTTCTTGCGAAGCGAGCGCTCTACCATTTGAGCTAGTTCCCCGATGGGGCGGGGGCCTGATATTGTAACCCTTCGATTTTAAAAATGCCAAATAGTAAGATACGCTAGTGACTTCCTGTTTTTCCGTAGGTCAAGTTAAGATGACTGGAGGAGATCGAATGTTTCCAAGAGCCAGTTCAAAAAAGCGTAAAAGTTCAAGTCTTCTATCGATGCTCAGACTATTGCTCGAAAAGGGGTATCTTTTTATTCTGAATTAGATCTTAATCGGGTCCAAGTAGTGTACCAAGCCGCTGGACACTGTCAACACATGATCGAAAGCGTCTTAAGCGGAAGATTGGGCATAAGTTAAGCGGAGAACTGAGGAGACCGATTTCAGTTGATACCTGTCCATTCAATTGTATAATGTATAACATCTTTCAGTTTCCACCGTTGATACGTGTCAAGTTTACTTCCTTCAACAATTCCATCCTGTTCTCCACCTTGGCTTTGGACGCTGCACACGACATGAGTTTTTTTTGTACTCGTCCCTAGTCGACCGAATGCAATTATATCCAGCGGAGAAAAACTCGACCGATACGGAATTATCGTTATAATATAATGACTGTGATATCGGGTAGGGTCGCCTGTCATGAGCATTAGCTTTAAGTCAAGATTTCGGATTTGAGTTGATAAGATATCAAACCTGGGTATCCTAACCACCTGCCGCCAAATTTACTACCCTCTGTAATGAATAGTCCTTGCTTCCATAAATGTTTGAAGATAAAATAGCTATCCCAATCTATCTCCTTTTCCGGAAAATTCCATAAACCTTTCTTCCATGCCTCTGACAATGTTGTGGCATACTTAGCAGAATCTAGATCATTTAAATTTATTGAACAATTTGATATGTCTTCATTGGAGGAATTTAATTCATCGTTATCCAGAGATTTGGTAGCGCTGCCAAAATGGCTGGTCGGAGTGATCAAATGATTTTTCGAGGAGCCAGAAGTCTCCTGGTGATCACTGTCCATTGAACGAATTCTTTCAGCTATACGGCTTTCAAAGCCTGAATCTTTGACGAGGACAATAATTTCTGAATGCGAGAAGCCAGGTCTGGTTAACATCTGTCGGGGCGTAGATCGTAGCAGATTATAAAATCTAACCTTCATCGAGTAGTAGAGTCACTTCTTCCTGATTTAGGACCAAAGGCAATCCGAAAAATATATTTTGCTGTGGTGCTCGGGGAAGAGACCCGATCAAGGCCCCTACTATCCTATGATTACGCAGGTTCTGTACATCTGAAATTACCGCGCTATCGTGTTATCAACAACGTTGACGCTACACTATCAGATATACTGAAGTATGGGACACAAACCTTGAGGCCTCCATGCAAACGCTTTATCAGCAGTTACGAAAACAGGAATCTTATCCATATTTAAAGTCATTTTTGGATTTATGACCACCGTATGCTTCAATTTCAACATCGAGTCCGAATCCTTGTTTACTTGTGATCCGAGTTAATTTCCATCATCGCCGACATCAAGAGCCCAAATTCTACCTGGAATCACAACTGCAATTTTAGTGGAAATCAGTTTCAATATTAGCTCTCCCTTTCCTGTATTATTGAGACGTCGTAAATTTGTAGCAAGGGCCGCAAATGTTCCGGCCAAATTCTCGTTGCCATTCGTAGTTCTATTTTTTTTTTCAAAGTAGTGTTTTTCCTTCATGTCATTGAACCCAACAGTGATAGCTAATGCTTTTTCAATTCAACAATTTAAGATTTTCATCCTTCCTCCAGCTTTCACACTTGCGGTCACCTTTCTAAGCCACCCTCGTTCTACCGATCGTTAAGAATCATCTATTCGTATAATCAGTTCACACTCTCCCTTCCCCGAAGCTACTCGAAGTAATCCATTGCTCTCAAATGCTGTTATCCTTAATATCTTCAGCACTAGACTTGTTCTTTGCATTCTTCGTCTTCTCATTTGGATCGATTGCTGCTCTCCTATTCGTCGCTATGTTCCTCGCCTATCTCTACCGAGTGGCCTAAGTATCGTGTGTTCGACAGTATCTACACTTGAGGAGTTTGCATCTATGGACAAAGAGTTTAGAGATTCTAATCTCTGTAATACCCTACTCTCTAATCAGCGCCCGAAGGAATGGAAGTAACGTTCTCCTTGTGGAGGATGTGCATCGATTCTCCGAAATAGAGCCGTTGTGAGCTCCGCTCATAAGCCAACAGTATTTATACGTTGACACTTTTTCAGTTCTTATACCTATATTTTATACCCCTCTGTACCATATTCAGTAGTAATGCGAACTATTGTCGAGTTGTACGTTGAAATCCGACCTTAATGACTGAATAGTTTCAAATAATACTTTTTTTTCGCAATCATCCCTACATCCGATTCCTCAGATTTTACAATTATATGCGAAATATACTACATTTATTCGACCTTTTGCTTTCGGCTCATCCCCTTCTTCAGTAAGCCAAAAACTTTGCCTTTACCCTTTTGAACTTCAGGTAGCGCATTTTGTTCGTCCATGCCCTTCCCAGGAATATCAGTAGGGTCCGGTAAATTATTTTTTGATTCAGCGAATATCCGTTCTTGGTTTGCTATTTCCAGAGCAAGATCGTAACTATGTATATTGTCAGCATGGTTGGGTAATTTGACACGTTTTTCGGACGCCGAGATGAACTTACTCTAATGTGACATGATCTGATGGCTGCTTCTCTTCAGTCGAATATGATTGTAGATTTAGTGCCATCTGATAGCTGTGAAAACTCATGTCAGGATAACGCACGGCAACAATGAAGGCAGTCAAATATTCTTACTCTGTCATAATCTGATTCTTGTCCAATCCAGGTGAAAATTCACTGTCTGGAGTCAGCAACACACCGCCGTTATCGGTACTATTATCACTATCAAAGCTAATTAAATCAATCGCACTATCGTCATTCAGCTTTTCCTTGCCTTTGTCGCGAGCTTTCTTTGGGTCGTACATTTTTATACTGGATGGATCGACTTCGGATGCTTCAGGAGTTAAGAGTAATGGCTGTTCAAATGATGTAACGGGTGTGTCCAATAATGAAGATGAGCTAGACAGCCGTTTGTCCTTGCGACTTTGTCTTCGTTTCGACGGGGCCTGGATATCGTCGGTGGTTTCGATAAGTGTTGATGACGACGAGTCTGTTCGATTACTCCCACGTCTGAGATTTTTCGGTTTCATTTTGCTCCAGAACGACTTCTTTTTCGGATGCAGTTCCTCTGTTGGTGTAATAGATGCGTCTAATTCAGGCGAAGCAGTATGGGGCGTGGCTACTGCGCGCATGTATGTATCAGAAAGGGCCAAGGCAATCGCAAAACTGGAACGAGAACGCTATCAGAAAATCTAGCAATCAAAGAAGCCCATACAATTACTTACTCTCTGTCGATATTCTCAATTGTTTGAGCCGCCGTATTGCTCGCTGCACTGTCCACTAATTTCAATCCATTTAATTCGATCAACCGCACAGCATTCAAATTCTTGTCTAACAACACACTCTCTTCATCGTACGCTACACGCTTCCACATTACAATTCCGTCGTTGTCGACATTCTCTGAATCAGTGGCAAGATAAAAACATTGATTTTCATACATAAAGACCGTTTCATACTTTTTCGAAACAGGTTCATATAATATCTTTAACGGCTCAGATGAACTGACCATTTCAACAAACGATTGCCAGCTGAGATGGTTTGGTAGTCCCTTGATATCATCAAGATATCTCTTGCCTTCAGAATCAAGAGTGATATCAGAAAACGTGAAATCTAAAAACCGCTGGTAACTTTCATTAACAGCTTCCGGTAAAGCGACCGAGTGAAAGAGCGGGATAGATAGAAAAGCCAAAAAATTTAGAAGCGGAGTATTTTGTGGCTCGAATGACGACGGAAATCGAAGTACCGGGTTCGGAGGGTTCAATGGATTGTTCAATAATGATGACAGAAATGTCAAATGAGACGAGATGGGGTAAGAACGTCCGGATGGATCACAACACTGTATAATAGAATTATGTTCGGAATCAGATTCTCAAATTAGTAGTAGAATTTAATCTAAGGTGAACCTACATTTGTATAATACCCTATGACAAAATCACCAATTAAGTGAATGACTTCTTGTTGCGTGATATTGTCTATAGCTGGCACTTTAACGAAACCCCGTAATGATAAAATATTTGCTATTCGATACAAAAGTGCACAAATATTTCAAATTGAAGTTGAATATGTCAGTTAAATTCGCCGTATCCATTGCCGTAGCCGAACAAGACCATTAGATCCCAAGTAGCGGGGAAAATACCTATTCCTATAATCCGCCAGGACAGAACACACTGTTAATCAACCATTCAGTGAGCATCTATCAAGCAGGATCAAAAACTTACCACAAAAAACGCTCTCACCGGCAACAATTCCAACCGTGCAAGACTGATCACCCCGCGATTTCGTTGGTTGAAGTGACCTGAATACGGGCGACGCCGAGGTCAATTCAAAGAAGCGGATGGGATATCGGGTTTGCAGAGACTGTTGTGAATTCATCATCCAATCGAGAAAGAAACAAAGTTTTGGAAGTTTGATGGAATTGTGGTGGAAATGAGGGAAACGGACATGTCACGATTTAGAACGAAATCGGCCACAGTTAAATTAACCCACGGGCGAAATGGCGCAGCATTGCGGTCCCCAATAAACTTTAAAATGGCCTTTGTCTCACTGTGGTAGAAATATATACTTTCGCCGGTATTCAATAGTACACTCCTTTCAGTCCGCATCAATTGGATTGATTTTAATTAACAGGCGAGGACTTTTGCAAATGTGTAAATGTAGGGTTGAAAGCTGCAGATCTTTGCGAGTCATTTGCCAATAATTGTGATCCGGCTACACATTGATAACATTAAAGGGACATGAACCTATTCTCCATGTGTCGTTTTGCATAAATACATACATCATTTTGTGAACACGTCAAGGTTAGGTATACGAATAAAGTATAGTCATTTGCAAATTGTGCGTGAAAGACAACGCAGAATCGTAT